TGGTGGTGGTGGTGGCGGCGGTGCTGATGTCCCTTTTGCTTCTGCAGGTGGTGTCTCTGCACCTGTGGTATGGTTCTTGAGCTTTGGCGCGGTTGTCGTCTGTGCAGTGTGCAGAACCCTTGACTGTCACGCGGACACGTCACCCGGCTTCCCTCCGCCCCCCTTCTCCCCTGCCGTGGTTTGGGTGTTGGGTTCATCTCTACTAACAAACTGTATGCCGAAACGCTCTCCGACAACGACGTCGACAGACATACACTTTGGGACTCTCTTCCAGCCACTGTTGCCATTTCGCCCCACGCGTCGAAAAATGCGAACGTCATGAGGAGAATTGCACCAACGCGTCCAGCCCCAGCGACTGATCATCTGCTCCCAGCCTCCGTAGACAACGCCTCTCGCGAGGATCGTGCCCCCAGCGGTCCCTTTGACTGTTGCAGACGACTTAATTGCGGTGATGGGGTACCTGATTTGGGTTTGTAAGTATACTGGGTTCTGGAGTACCATACTTGCATACTTTGTTTTGGGACCTGCTCCTTACGGGAACCATGATGAAATTAAAGTCTATACTTTTTTCTCCCTGGTTACTTCAAAGTCTGGTATACATACCGACATACCGGCCAACTCTGCCTTACTTTTGACCCTACTTTCTAAGTCCCTCAGCCAAATGCAAGAGTGGATCTCTGTGCACTTCTGTGCATTGTGGCAGAGAAAGTCACAGAGTTGAGGGTTCAGGGGTTTAGGGTTTTGGGCCGGTTGGTTGGTTTAAGGTTTAGGGTTTAGGGTTTAGGGGTTTGGGGGTTTAGGGGTTTAGGGTTTAAGGGTCTAGGGGTTTAGGGGTTTAGGCTGGGGTTGGGGTTCGCTGTTGGCACTTAGACAGAAGTTACTGCGAACTTAATGCATCGGCTGCCGGGACGGTAGTTCAGTAGTGCCGCAGGTACCATCGCATGTGTGCATGTCGCTGTTGGAAGCGGCGCCGCTCTGACAGAATCCCACCCCGAGTCGAAATCACCATTAAACCTCCAAGTCTTGGTAGAGCTCGTGAGGGATTCTGAACAAACCTTACGCCGGTAAACCCCTAAGCCCTAAACTCCTAAACCCTAAACCCTAAACCCTAAACCCTAAACCCTAAACCCTAAACCCTAAACCCTAAACCCTAAACCCTAACCTCAAAGGATGTCGTAGAGGGTAGCAAAGCTCCTCGGCTGACCTATCAAATGACCAAACTCACACATCCCTCTGCTATAATGTAGCATAATACACGAAAACATACCAGAATAATATACCATAATACACGATCACAGACTGTAACATACTACAAGTACATCCCCCAAGGAGGTTTTTTGGTTTTTGTAGAACAGCGACTTCCTGACTTCTTAGTAGCCCGAAGCCTTCGATGCGCTTAAAATGTCCTTCGGAAAATCCTAATCCAGAGCCCTAAACCCTAAACCCTAAACCCTAAACCCTTCTGCACTACACCCTCAAAGAGCTTGTAACCCAAGAAGCAAGTCCTCGACCTTGCTACTCCCTTTAAGCCCCAAGCCCCAGACCCTGAACTCTAAACCCGGAACCCTAAGCCCTGAAACCTAAACCCGGAAACCTAAACTCTGAACCCTAAGCCCGGAACCCTAAACCCTAAACCCTAAGCCCGGAACCCTAAGCCCGGAACCCTAAACCCTGAACCCTAAACCCGGAACCCTAAACCCGGAACCCTAAACCCGGAACCCTAAGCCCGGCACCCTAAACCCGGAACCCGGAACCCTAAGCCCGGAACCCTAAACCCTGAACCCTGAACCCTAAACCCGGAACCCTAAGCCCGGAACCCTGAACTCTGAACCCTAAGCCCGGAACCCTGAACCCTAAACCCGAACACGAACGCTGCCAGGCAAGGTCGAGTTCCTTGGGCCCTCGCCGGACCAAAGGGCCTTGGTAGCCGGCAGCAAAAGCTCCGTGCCGCCTTCGCTGTTCACTCCCAAGGCACTCGGTTTTGAGTTCGGGATTTCGGGTTTAGGGTTGCGGGTTGAGGGTTTAAGGGTTTAGGGTTCAGGGTTTAGGGTTTAGGGTTTAGGAGTTCCGAGTTCCTGTGTTTGCATGCTGTTTTGCTGGGTTTTCGAAGACTTTTTGCAGCCCGGTGTTCCCTGCTTGGAATCGGGGCTCCTTGCACCCGGCCCTACACCCTACACCCTAAACCCTAAATCCTGACCACGGTTTAAGGTTTAGGGTTTAGGGTTTAGGGTTCTTGGATGCTGCTGGGAGAAAGGGTCACTGCACTAAAAAAAGCCCTAAACCCTAAACCCTAGGGCGCCCACGAAGCCCCTTGCTGATGACATCCCCCAGCCTCTGGGTTCCATCCTGCTATACTGTACCATAATATGGCAGTTTCCGAAAATAAGAGGCACCTTATGTTGGGGTTCTTAAAATAAGGATCCTACTATTTGGTGTACTATATTATTGTCCCCTATTCACGGAAACCCTATATACTTCAATATACGATTGTTGATGATATAAATCCTGCAGTACCCATAATCAGGAATCTGCCATAATTCCCATAGTTTAGCGCCCTTAAGGTAATGCAGGCTTTATATCATCAACAGTATTCAGTATCATATACTAAAGCACATGTTATTATAGCATGCTCTAGTATAGCATAGCATACTTGGAGGACCATGGGACTTAGTAAGTAAGGTTATAAGTCCCCTAATTGGGGTTATAAGTATAGTTACCTTAGTTATATCCCTACTTACTAAGTCCCATGATCTTTTAAGTAAGCCAAATGCCACTGTATACTATGACTATAACATGCTACAGCATCGTGCAGTCGTGTGTAGATCACCGGGCAGGGAGACTCCTGGGACGGTGTAGGGTTTAGGGTTTAGGGTTTAGGGTTTAGGGTTTAGGGTTCAGGGTTTAGGGTTTAGGGTGTCTCGCTCAGTCCCTGCCCGCATGCCCACACTCTGTGTCAATGCTTCGTTGTCTGCGCTGCCCTCAACAGCAGCAGTGGTAGCAGCGTATTTGGTACATGTTTCAAGTTTGTAATATACCATACTACAGCATGATTTTCTAAAGTATGCTAGAACATACTATAATTTACTGTAATATACTGTAAGTATAGAAACGCAAAGGACTTTCTCTGGAACGGCGTATGCTTCGAGCTTCGGTTTTAGGCTTGGGGTTTGAGGGTTTGAGGGTTTAGGGTTTAGGGTTTAGGGTTTAGGGTTTGGGGTTTGAGGGTTTGTTCTTTCCGCGGTTCGGGGTTCAGGGGTTCAGAGTTTTTACATGTTTTTACAGTAGGGGTTTAGGGGCAGAGGGTTCAGGATCGGAGCCCTACAGTTTCCCTTGAAGAGGCTGATGTGCCAGCCGCTGCAAACACAAGATATCTCCCAGACTGTGAATTGTAAACTCTAACAAAAGCTGTACACCCTTACCTAAACCCTAAACCCTAAACCCTAAACCCTAAACCGGGACCTATCTGCTTCGTGCAGTGTGTGAAAGCCCAAGGTGTGAACTAGATGTCGGGCGGAAAAACCGCACCGGAGACGTTGATGTAGGGGCCTTAATGATTAGTGTTGAGATCTTGAATCATCATTCCT